TCCTCCTCCTCCTCCTCCTCCTCCTCCTCCTCCTCCTCCTCCTCCTCACAGTTACCTAGTTTGGTAATAAAACATTTGCAAGAAAACAAGTCCAGAGAGCAACTAGGACCCCCTAAGCCATCATTGTCCTCCTCGTTCCCTCCCCAACTTCCCTCCCTCCCCACCTCCTCCTCCTCCTCTTCCCTGAAAACTCCACACCTTCCTACTACAGATGGTATTACCTCGTTTGGATAATGAAACTCCCACAAGAAAACCACCAAGCTCAGAGAGCAACGAGGAGACCCCCTCATTCCCACCCTCAGCTACATCTATTCTCCTTTATGGAAACCAAAAGGGACGAGAATTATTGATTCTGATAAAGGCGTGAGACTTCCTTGGCGTTCTGCCGGTATCCCAAAGGTAGACGGTTGCGTGTTTTACAACGTGCAGCAGGGGGCGGTGCAGGACTTCCTTTTGTACATTCGGGTAAAAGTTGAACATTGGTCTAACAGAAACCTAACACCAACCCTTTGCTTTGAAATACCGGTAGAGAGAGAGATGTTCAGATTCTCTACGATTCACGCTATTGTTTTCACTCTGTTTGGCACCCTCCACTGGGACTCAATCCACTGACACCTTCTTCTTTCTTTTTCCGTAGCACGGACAGCCTTGCAACCGCTGAAAAACATGGATGTCAAAGAAGGTAAGGGCGGTTGCGCTTTGCAGCAAATATAGGCGCAGCGTCGTAGCTTTCGGTCCTTTCAAACCAAGGGGGCGGGGCCATAACTCCGTGGCACGTTTCTTCTACGTACAGAGCAGAGCGGTGGTATTTTACCAGTTTGGCCCGGTTCGGCCGAGCCGGTAGCACCGATCCAGCAGCGGAGACTGAATCGGTTCTCTCCTCCGCTCTGCTGTTGGGCCCACCTGCCTGCCCGGGTTCCCACACTCACCTTTAACCCCTGGTTTTGAAGCACAGCTGCTTTGCGTGGCACAGAAGAGCGTTGCGTGGCAGCTGCGGAAACAACCGGGAGAGTGCAGGCTTGCAGGAAGCGAATTGGAACGCCTCGGCGCATGCGGGAAGTCCGCGTTTGGTGCACACGTGCACGCGAAGGGTGCGCATGCGCACAAAAACGCGCCCACCAAGCCACGCCTACTGAACCGGTGGTAGAGAGTTTTGAAACACACCACTGAGACAGAACGATCTGGATGAAATCGGTGGCTCCCACTTTCGTCTCCTCTTGCAACAAATGGCGATGGCCAAACTTGGCATTTCTGTGACATGTTCCTCTCGGCTTT